TGTATCCTTCTAATTTTAAATAATTTAAATAGAGTTTATCCATAGAAATGTATCTAATTACAAAACTAAAATTTTATTTCTAAGAATGTCCCTAAAATTTTAAGACACGTTTACCTATATAATGGACATCATACTTAAATTCCTGTTTAATTTAATTATTGAGTTCTCCAACCCTCCTCCTCCTCCCAAACTTTTTAGACTGTCATAAAAGCGTGATTCTTACTGATTAGTGTGTGGGGAATAAGGATGATAATCTTATTTTTTCTGCTTCTTAAATCTTCAAAACATGCATTTACTCTGAAAATAATTTATTTATTCAACCATATAATAGTATTACTTCTATTTGTTACTTCTCTTCCGTGTTCTTTTTAATAAATTCTGAAGTGGGAAAAAATTACTTTTGAGTCAAAGATAATACTCACAGTCCTCTAGTGTAAATCAATAACTTTTCATTTAATGTTAAATACAGTAAATTGTGCCAATCCTAGTTCATAATGACGTATATAAATTTAATCACGCAAAAGTGAGTGAGAATATGGTGAAGCATTGAATATCGCAAAATGGGTGATGAAACAGATAATTTTTATCAAATTGCAACTGTAGCATTTTTTGCTGAAATAAAAGGCCATTTGATTTCATAAATAATTGCATTATATATATATATATATATATATATATATATACTTTTAAATATATATATATATATAACTTTTAAAGAAGCGTGCAAATAACCAAATATCATACAAAAAGAGGATAACTTACATGAAATTGGGACTTGTAAAGGGTGTGTTTTTTTTAGAGGTATAGAACTTTAAATTGCAATAAAACAACGATGTATTATTCGATTGACATGAATTTTTTTTATTCGAAAGATAATCTTGTGGCATTACATTTTAAATATGATCAAGCAAGCCGTAGATTCGTCGAATGGGCCCTCAACGAGATTGCCGTTGTTCCCGATTTTCATAAGCGAATTTTGTTTAGCGATGAAGCGCACTTCTGGTTGAATGGCTACGTCAACAAACAAAACTGCCGCATTTGGAGTGAAGCTAATCCACAAGTGTATGTCGAAACACCGTTACATCCAGAAAAACTGACTGTTTGGTGCGCTTTATGGGCTGGTGGAATCCTTCTTCAAAAACGATGAAGGCCACAACGTTACAGTCAATGGTGATCGGTATAGAGCCATGATTACTAACTTTTTCATTCCTGAATTGAACAATCATGATGTCCAGGAGCTGTGGTTCCAACAAGATGGCGCAACATGTCACACAGCTCGTGCCACAATCGACTTATTGAAAGACACGTTTGGTGACCGCCTAATTTCCCGTTTTGGACCTGGGAATTGGCCTCCAAGATCTTGTGATTTAACACCGCTGGACTATTTTCTGTGGGGCTATGTAAAATCATTGGTCTATGCGGATAATCCACAAACGCTTGACCATTTGGAAGACAACATTCGCCGTGTTATTGCCGATATACGGCCACAAATGTTGAAAAAAGTCATCGAAAATTGGACGTCCAGATTGGACTACACCCGAGCCAGCCGTGGCAGTCCTATGCCAGAAATCATATTTAAAATGTAATGCCACAAGATTATCTTTCGAATAAAAAAAATCCATGTCAATCGAATAATACATCGTTGTTTTATTGCAATTTAAAGTTCTATACCTCTAAAAAAACACCCTATAAAACACATGACTTTTAACAAATTTGGTAAATTCAATGCCAAAACTACATTATTTTTTTAAAATACATTTAATCCAACTGATCACATACACGAGTACATTTGTTATTTTGATAAATAGTTTTGAAATATATATATTAGACAATCTAAAACATAGTTTAAAATTAGAATATAATACATTGTTGACTAATTGTGATATTGGTCGCTAAATAACACGGAAACATTATATTTGGGGTGCCTCAATTTCAATAGTATGCCGCGCGACTGCATTAAATTTAATAAAACACCATTTTGAATAATTTGATAAAAAAAAAACGAAATTTATTTTTCTTTTATTTCAACTTTCATATTATATTTTCTGTATTTTAATGTTGGATCATATCTGCAAGCAGCTATATTATGGGATGAGATTTATTTTTGTGATAATTTAGTTAAGTATATATAAGAAAAAATACCACATATATGTAACAAAATTTGTTTCAAACGTATAGAGAATGTGTTTGATATAGCATGACTACGATAAACCTGGATCCCCATTTAATTAGTTATAATTGTAAGGGGTATATCAGGGTGTCGACTCATAATAAAATAAATTCTCTTCGGAAAACTTGATCAGCTCAAACTTTAAAAGAGAAAAAAATAAAACAAATCTTTCTTTACAGCCTTGACTTTCTCTATAGCCTGTGTGACGTATATTCAGTGACACTATGAATAACCAAAGACCTCCTTCCCGTAGATCTTTCGTAGAAATTTAGGGGCCATAAAAGAGATAGACATCTGCTTCGCTTTGCTTCTAGGGGGAAGGGACATAACAAGAGACAGCCAACGCATTCTGGAGGACGGTCCAACTGCACCCATTTCCTTTAGACTGGGTAGGCCCAAATTCTAATTTCCTAAGATACGAAAATAACTGTAATGCTAATCAACCTTAAAGGCAAATTAGTTTATCTTTATTTTCTTACGAATTAGCTTAGGAAAATTTACATTTCCTTTTTAAACCTCATAGATATCAATCCTAATTAGTGATATTCTAAAGTAATATTGTTAATTTTTCATGTCTGTAATACTTGTTTAGGATTACATTTAAAATCAGCTAATATACCTACTTTTCATTTTTTTAATCGATATAATTTCTTTGCTTAAACGTGAATGGGATTTTTTAAGCGCTATTTTTTAAAAATTAGCTTATTTTTATATACATAAGGAACCGAGGGAAAATATTTGAAATTATAGTATGATCATGGAATGTACATTAAAAAACTATTTAAGTTTTCAATAAACAAAAAGTTTTATAATTAAATGTAGTAATAAAAGATTTTTGGAGGGGTGGGTGAGTTAGTACGGAATTAATGATTTCTAATATGCAATAACGCATGCTTTTTTGATTGGATTATTTCGAATGCGAAAGTTATTTCTTGGGATTAAGTCATCTTAATACAACCTAATTGGAAAACAAAAGAGATGCTGACATTGAGTTTTAGAACTTTAAAAATTAAAATTTGTTGGATTTAAGGAACTTTGTATAAAGATGCAAAAATTTCTTTATATGACAAAAAAAAAAAAAAGAAATAAGATTTTAAAGACTGTGTAAACATTTACCACTTTGTAATAGAAAAAGGTAAAATTAAGAGAATTTTTTTAGTATAAGTATTAACATTGATTTTGATGCTATAAAATGTGATAAAAACTTTATAAATTTTACAGGTGGCATGCAGATTCTGAACAAAATGTTAGTTTTCAAACTTGTTGAATCTCACTCAAAGTAAAACATTTTAAAGATGTTACAAAGTTGATAAAATGTATAAGCTGATCACACATACACACAGAAAACATATTATTTTAGGAATAATATTGAATCTGAGTAGTAGTGCATCACGCTTCCACACCACAGGTGCGAGTTTCAAACCTCAGGCTGGGCATGGTTGACTCAGCCTTTCATCCTTTCAGTGGATCGATAAATGAGTGCTATGCTTGCTTGGGAAATAAACACTGGGAGTTTCGCGTCATATTGACCACATGACCGAAGCATCTGCACAAGCAACTCAGTGCCCACGGTCACATATACTGAGATGGGCACAGCAGGTGTTGACCCTCATGGGCTGTTGCGCCACCGAGTTAAGGAATAATATTTGATTACAAAATATAAATCATCAAATTAGAAAAAGCAGTTGAAACTACAGAATTTAATGTACAAAGAACACATATTAAGGAATAAACATTTTTCCTCTTTAGTTTGAGCAAATGATTATAATGCAAACAGATACCATTATTATATAATAAATTATTAGCTTTACATAGAGATATTCTAAAATCGTTTATAGAATTGCAAATCGATGAAAATCTCAATAACTGGAGAGAGAGTGACAATTAATGTCGCTCTGTTCAGCTACACGAGGACTTTTGGCAACGGACCTCGTAATTTTGAACCATGTTCAAGTGACGAGGACGACACCTGAGCTGGCACCCCTGTCTTAACTTCCACACCAATGACAAGCCGTTTGAGCCTCAACAGATTTAAAGTGCATCAATACTTCTACACGACGGCTAATAACTGGATGATAAACATCGAATATTATTTTATTTTTGGAATCAGTTTCCAACTATAATCGCATTTAGTTTCTATACCGGTAGAGAAAACTCTCTACCCAATTTTCAATAAATATAGTCCCACCTTTACAATTAGGTTCAGTAATTAATTTTTTAGGTTTTTCATAATTATAGGATAAATCTTTTTTTAATATTTTTGACACAAATACACAAAATTATTCATTAATTAAGAAAAACAGTTTTTCAAAAATGTAATAGTCTTTGAGTATTTTGTTCTATACATTTCTTTAATCAACCTATCCATTTAAATTCTAAAAAAATTGGTGTAATTGGGTTAAAAGAATTTCTGATATAAAATCTGAAAAACCCACGTAACAACTCGACATTAAAATCATGTGTTAAATTGAAAATCCCAAACTATACCCCTGATATTTCGTCATTAAGTTAGCTTTACTATGCAAAATTCGCATTAAAATCTTAATTTTTTATTTAACTATATTAAAGGAATGCTTATATTTTATGTTGTTTATTTCTTATTTAATTCCTACTACTAGTTCACTCTTTTTCAATTGTTAAAAAAATGCTTTCTATTCATCCATTGAAGTTCAAATGCATCTATTTAAACTAGCAGTGGAGGACACTTGATGTTAATAGCATTGTTTCTTTTTTTTAAAATATTAATTCATTCATTAAATTTAAAAAATAAATAAAAAGTAACAAAAATAATACTCCAACAGCACATATAGAAAGGAAAATCGTTCGTTGTGTCCCAGTTGAGCAATGAATAGCGCGTTGGACTTTTAATCCAAAGGTCGTGGGCTCGAATCCCTCCTGGGATGGACTAATTTCTGAGAATGTGGTTTCTTTTTTACAATACTATTTTATAGGAATAATTAAATTTAATGAATGAATAAATAGTAACAAAAACAAAAAAAAATAGTGTAACACCATATATAAAAAGAAAAATTACAAGGAAAATCGCTTTCTAGTTTGTCACTTAATATTGTAAGTCTGTCATATGTATATACATATTTATATTAATTATAACTATTTAATAAAAAGTAACTAAAATAAAAAATTTTCTTTGTTGGCTTAAGGGGACTTGGCACCCTTTGAGCAAATTTCTTTATTTACGTATTTAAAAATTATATTTTAGGATTTTGTATTATGTTTCTATTCAAGAAAATGGTACCAGATGAAAATTTTCATATATTATTTACACAATTTAAAAATTTAAATTTTTTGAAGAAAATTGGGAAAATTTTAAAACCCTACTCCTTTTGTAAAAATTATTTTTTGACCTGAAATTTTTTTATAATATTCTTATGGATGTTCTCAACAACTTTAGGGATCGATTTTAGAATAACTTTAGTCCTTTTCGAGAAAAAAAAATAAAATGTTGATATACAGCCTAAAAATCAACGAAAAAGCCAACATGTCTTACATTTTATTTTTTTTAAAAAAAAGTATTCAGTTTATAGAAAAACGAATCCCTAATTTTACTACATACTTTATTTTTAACACGCAGGAAAAAAATGGAAGTCATTGCTAAATAATTGTCGAAGGAGTAGCATTTTGAATGCACTAATGTTTCGAAAAACACAAACTGAGAAAAACCAGTTTAAAGTTTATAATTCTGAAAAAATAATTATTATAAGCTTCATTAAACTTAAAGTACCACTTTAAGATATTAGTGATTCGTTTTTCTTTAAAATAATTGCATTTTCATATTTTTTCAACCCACACATTTTTATAAATGATCAACTTTTAGAGAGTACTAATTGCACAAGAAAATTCAAGAAAAACGTTAAAAAAAGTTTTTTCTGTCACGACAGAAATTTTATCTGTTTTTTTTCTTATATTAAAGTATTACATTTGTATGAAAAATATATCAGGAATAAGAACTGAAATTATATATAAAATTTTTATTATAAAATGCCTTAATTTAAAAATTTTACATGCACACATTTCACAAAGAAAAAAAAATGATTGTATGCATTGCCTCGTAAATATTCTGCTTTATATATTGCACATTCTTTTTTAATGTTATTATTTCTCTTTAAAAATTAGATTTTTTTTTATCAAAATGCTTCTTTTAGCTTTTTTATCTAAAAAGGGGGCGTGGCTGAATCGCCTAATTTGTTTTCCAATGAAGTTTTATTCAACTTCTAACTTTCCGACATGCACAAGTGATATATCAATCGAAAGATAATAATGCAAAGAATAAGATTAAATGAAAATAAAAAAACGATACGTTTGGGATTTTAGGGGTACCAAGTCCTCTTAAGAAGGAATTAAATATCTTAAATGTCATCCAAAATATAACCTTTGAACACATATCCACACTGGAAAACATTTTTCTTTTAATTAATCTGTAAGAAATGTGCTTTGTTTTATTGATGAGTTAGTACACTAAATAATAAGTTATTATGAAATAATGCTGCTCTCTCTGTTGTTACTAATGCCACATATCTGACGATATTAGATCGAGGCCCAAGAAATTCATCGCTGCAAAGGTCTACAAGTACGTCAGTCGTTAGCCGTAGTTTTGAACACCATTCAGGTAACAGTACGTTTTGGCTCGGTTCCACCCCAATTTTGAGGAAGAACACCTTAGGGGTGATCAGGGCCTCCCAGCTCTTGGATGTGCTCTCTCTAAAAATAATTAATTACATGTGGGAAATAAGAAATGCATATTAGAAATATTTATGATATTGATCCCGTTTCCACATCATCATGACGTAGGAATCTCGATGCGTTTTTTTTATTGAAGTATCGCCTGGAGTCATAATCCTCTTCATCACAATCTTTTACTTGATAGAACAATCTGGACGAAGCCAATTTTTAATTTTTGACCCATTCTTAAAATTGACGCATTTCCAATGGTACCAGTAACTGCAATCATCACACTGAACCATATTTTTTAAAGTCGTTGCACTTTCACAATGATTGCAACGCCAAAAGTTTTGTTTCAATGCAATTATTTTTTCTACTTCTTCCCCAACTTGTGTAGTAAATAATTCTTGTACAGATATGTCAAATCATGATTTATAATATAATCCGTAAATTCATGATCAGGTTTTAAATCCTGTACCCTAAAAAGACCTGTATTTTTGAAAGTAGAATCTGAAACATATATATATATTTTTATTTAAAATATATTTTGAAACTTTTTGTTGTTGGGTTCTTAGTGTCGATTTCTGACAGACGCATTTACCAAACTTGTTCAACGTAACAACATACATACCAAATTTCATTAATGTAGGTCTTGATAGCATCGGCCTGAAATTGGAAATATCATCGTCGACAGTGAATTCACGTAAGCTGAATTTTTATTGAAACTGAATTATACCTGAATAGAAGATTAAAATGTCAGAAAATCTCTCAAAATTGAAAAAGAAGCGTACTGCGATACGTTCTACGTTGACGAAATTGCTAAACAAAATTGAAGGAACGATCAACAATGAAAATGAAAATTGAGGCTTTCTTCTAAAATTAAGAGAATAAATTTTGACTCTATCCAGGCTGTGTGTGTGTGTGATACAGTTTATCGAAATATCCAAGTTATTGATTCCAATAGTTCTTAATATATTGACATAAATTTACTTAAATTGCATATAAATAAGTATTTTGGAAATTATTCTGAATGATTAAATTTTTATAATTTATTTGAAAGCTCTATTCATAATAACAATAGACTAAGCAAAGTAGATAAATTTAATTATTTAAAATCATATTTATGTGGTAATGCGCTTGCTTGCATTAATGGATTTCCAATTTCTGAGGATCATTATGATAGAGCTCTTGATCTATTAAAAGACAGATTTGGAAATAAAAGCATGTTAATTAACGCTCATTTGAGCAATTTATTAAATTTAACACCTGTTATAAACCCTACTGATATTTTGGGCTTAAGAAATTTGTACGATAGAGCAGAAACGCAAATAAGGAGTCTTGAAGGTTTAAGAGATAATGGAGAATCATATTCAAACTTAGTAACACCAATCCAATTGAAACCTCAGAACTATATACCCTCAGAACTCATTTTAGAATTCAACCGTTCTCAAAAGGACTAAGGTTTTAACCAAAGCGCTCTTTTGCGGTTAAGGAGCTTGGAAATCCGAAGTTCTGGAACAAGACTCTCAAATAAACAATTTTAAACTATGTCATTATTCCCCTCCACCGCAAAACAGAACAAAAATAAAATCTCGTTTTCCCCCGGACATCGTAAGAGAAATCCGATGAAAGAACACCCCGGAGCAAACTCTGTCCGTTTCCATCACTGTGAATCGCGTAGAAGCCGCAAATGCTTATACTGCAACATAGGTAATGAACTCGAGGCCTGCCATTTCTTACGCGCTAACGAAAAGAGAGAAATTTTAAGAAAAGAGGGGATGTTATTTGAGCCTCATGTCCGGTCATAGAGCAATGGAATGTGTGAAAAAAGAGTCATGTGTCCTATTTGTAATGGCTCCCACCATTACACAGTATGTTTTTGAAATCGGCATGGTGGCGATTGCTCTCCAAAAAGTGATACAAATAATTTAGTTTTAGCAGTATTTAAAACAGAAGTAAATAGTGTATTATTACAAACATGTGCTGAATTAATAGATGATAAAAATGAGCAAGAAGTTTGTAAGATTCGCCCGGAAGTTTAAAAATCATTATAGGTATCGCGGCCATCGAGGGGAGAGGAAAGACGGAGAAAAGGAGAAAGAAAGTGAAAAAGATGGAGAAAGTCAACAACATGGCGGAGAGATCAAAAATAGCGAAAGGGTAGATGGACGGTGATTTTGCTAATCAAATGTACATAGTTAGTTTTTCTTTTTATGATGTTTTGTGTTGTGTGTGGCTGTCTCTGGAATAAAACTCTTTAGCCATTAAAGAAGTAGTGACTTGACTGTATCTGGAATAATGATGACATGTTATATTTGAAGAGAAAGAACCTACGAATCCTTATTGGCGCAGTCGGAGTGATGTCAACAAAGATGCCAGGTAAGAAAGGGGAGTCCACATTCACAAATTAGTTATTATTGTTTGTAGTGTAATGTAAAGAGTGCATTATCAATAGCTGTAGATTTTTTGGAATAGATGATATGTTATTATAGTAAAAGTAAAATAAGTTACAGTTTAACTTGTGTATGTTGATTCATTAGAAACCCCAGGGTAAGAAAGATTAGTCGGGTGAGTCATTATAATCATTAAATGATCAGCGCGAGAAATATTTTAGTTTTTCGTCTGAGAAAACATTGTCCGGTGTGACTCATTAGAATCATTAAATGGTCACTGCGAAAATATTTAGTTTTCTGTCATAGAAAACACTTTTCTAATTAATGGTATCATCTATTACAAGAGTTTAAAAGTATTATTTGGATTTCATCAGAAACATTATTGCATATTGGATATATATTTTTATTGAACATCAGTTCAGATAATTATTGTGTTTCACCAGAAACATTACGGAATATTGGTATATATTATTTCTATTTCTATTGAACATCAGTTCAGGTATTATTTGTGTCAAATCTGAAACTTTATAAAGTATTAGAATACAACTACATTTTTAATTGAACATCAGTTTATATAATTGTTGCGAAAAGTATAAAATTTTGTTGAGTTCAAAAAGTTGTTGTTTTTGAAAGTTTGTTGAGTTTGAAAAGTATCAATGACTAGGAAAGAAAGGAAGTCTGTTTTTAATTCATACCTCAAATTGATGGATGATTTATGGTATTAAAATATTGCTGAATTAAATCAAATGTTATTTAAGCAGAATATCTAAGTAAAGGATATATATATATATATATATATATATATATATATATATATATATATATATATA